ATTAGACCGCGGTTTTTAAACGAGATCGAAGGTCAATTAATTCGCTAGAAATTCGATCCAAAATGGTCGAAATTCGATTATCAAACTTGTATCTGAAATTAGACAGATTGCTCTCAACTAAACTACGAATTGGGGGTTTCTACAGCAAATATGATCGAGGTTATTGTTCAATGGAAAGACGATAAAGTAAATTATTTTCACGACGACTTTTTCAAGCGCCTCGTAATCGTTCGTAGAAGAGCGAAATTCGTGCTCGCGGCGCTTTCGTTCGGCTCTCGCCGGGAAATCGTAAAGGGCGCGAGAGTCGGACCGTGGAGGAAATAAAACGGCCGACGAAACGGCCAACTGGACATCGGCGTAATTAAGTCGTACGGAAACGGATCGTCCCGCGAGCATCGTGCGAGAGAGGCCACGGTTTCGCCGGGCTTTATGGCGACGCGGACACGAGCGTCAGCTTGCTCGCGCGGCGTGGGCCGGAGCGGAGTGGAGCGGAGCGGAGCCCGCGCGCGAGAGCACCGCGTTGTTTTATGCACGAGCCGCGATGCCCATGCCGGGGAAAACGAGACCGCGAATCGTTCCACCCACGCAATAACGCCCGTATTTCCAGGCCGCTCGATCGTTTCGAGTTCCAGCTCGCGGAGAGCCGCTCTCGTTCTCTCCCCTTGTTTGCGGTTTTAACGGGGAGACTGGTTTTTCTCGAACGCGGCGAGTAACGTCTTCATTTGCCGGTGGAGGACGCGAGAGAGGGTATCGTTACGGAGCAAAAACCGGCGAAACGCGCAAAATTCCTCGCTGATTTACGAGCCGGTGCCACGCGAAACGGTGTTGCGGTGTTGCGGTGTTGCGGACTCGCCGGACCTGCGGACCTGCGGACGACGGGGTTCTGAAAGTATCGCCTCCGCGACGCGGACCTGCGCTTCTCCTTTTTCTCGGGGCTTTGGGCCGAGTCTCCTCTCTGCCCCGTGATTTCGAATTAGAAGCCTCATTTAAACGGCATTCTCCCCGTATAAATCACGCTGCGCCTTCCTTTTTCGATCGTTACCGAAGCTGTTTCTTCTTTGCTGCTCGGTATTAATCTCTCCTTGATTTCATGGAAAAGAGTGGCAACGAGACTCTCCCGGAACGACTAGCCTTTTACTCGGGCTGGCCAATAATTCTTTCGCTTTATACAGCACCGTTCCTCTTCCGATATAGTTTGGTACAGATATATTTACTTAGAGATATATTTCGGTGAGATTTCGTCGAGTCGTCGACGACATACGATATTTCTTCGCGCAATCGCGTCATCGATTCGTACGAAACAAGATCGATAACGAGGATCTTCGCCGCGCTGGTAATTCATTTTGTGAATAATCGTATCGAAAGGGTTCGCGTTGCGGGCTCGTCTATCGGTAAAATTTGCGGCGCGAGAAGTTAAGGAAAACGCGAACCATCGAGTTCGGAACCGATAAGGTCGAAGCGACTCCAGATAAGCAGATGGCGCGTAAAACGCGTTAAAACGCGATCGATGTCCGGTGTAACGCGTAACACGGCCATCCCCGTACGCGTCGCGACGCGTTTGCCCGCGTAATAATCTCGGCCGACGTTATTATCGCTTTAATCGCGAGGATTATTTCACTTTCGCGTCAAATTCGCCGTCCCGCTCGGTTTCGGCCTCGGCTTGGCCCCCCCTCGGCGCGGAATGGCGCGGCATGGAGCGGCACGAAGCGGCGAGGCGCCGAGCGTGTCCGGGCCGCGCGTAATTTCTGACCGCAGCCTGAAAATTCCACGTAAGCCAGTGGTTCTCGTCGACCAGGCATCTGGACCCATCCCGCGATCCAGCGTCCCGCTTCCCGCTACCCGCTTCCCGCTTCCCTCTCGCCGCAAGAACCGCTGCCCCGGGACACGGATCCTCCGCTTTTCCGCAGGAAACCCATCCCCGCGAAACCCCGATTCGTTAATTACTTCGCGCGGATATCTGATCCGGCTCCGCGTTTCCACCGCAAATTCGCGGCTGCTACCCTGCCGGTGATATCTTGCTTCGACACCCTCCTGGAATTTCGCCGTCTCGAACGTGGAATCAATTTCGAGAGCGATCTCCGTCCCCGCAATGTTCGCAGACGTCTTACACGGTGAACGAACGATATTATTTCTCGCGAAGAAAGCTCCGAATTGTCTAATAACATTGTCTAATAACATTGTCTAATAACATTGTCGAAAACGTGTACGCATCGACGAGAACAATGTAAGCTCGCAGATCGTTCGAAAGTCCGAAGAAGACGCGGCTTTTAACGAGAAAAATGGCTTCGCGTAGAGGTTTGGAAACACGAAAAGCACGAAAGTTACAACGCAAATACCTGAAACCGTGAACTGCGATCTTGAGAACTCGACACTCGCTACAACACTGACACCGGCGGCACTCATCCAACCTTGACGTAACCGGCGGAAAAACAAACCCTTAGCGACGCAGTATCTCTCCCCACTTCTCACCGCCGAGGGTCGAGGTTCGACGCAAATTCTACGCATTGTTTTTCGACTCGCGTCATCGCGCGAAAATCATCACGCACAGGTAGGGAGACCTCGGGATCGGTCGATGACGCGACGTTGACCCCCTCCCCCCTATTAACCGGGTTTTATTGGTACACGAGGCAGCAGCGTTGGCCGACCTACGACCGGCAACGGTTAATCAATGCTTTTATGAGCATTCGCTGGCCGGCACGGCGTCGTTGCACCCACGACCGGCCAAACCACCCCTTGCCACCCTTCGGGGACGCTTTCCACCCTCTGCCTCCCTCTTGCTCGCATCCGGGAGGTCTCTCTTCGACGCGGAACCGGATTCGTAAATTACAAACCTGATTGCAGCTTCGAAATTAAACGCCGAATGCGCTTTGCGTGGAACTGGGTCTGCTCGGTGTTGTTGGGTGGTGCATATGCACCGAGAAGAACGAGTACCAAAGAAGGGGACCGAGCGTCAAAGAGATCTATTTAATTATTTCGTATGAAAGAGTCTTTATAATTTCAATAATTCTGAAACAATTAAGGCATCGACTGAAAATTGCAGAGAAATCTATCTTTCCATCCCTTTGCACAGTTTGGCAAAGGTGTCGCGGTGAAATGGCCTCGCCGACCGATGCGCCGTGGCCCGCACCGAGCAGTCGGTGCAGCTGCAGACTCCAGACATAAAATGCATCCGCGGAGCAGTCGCGGGTTCCGCGTCGCGTAAATGCGGATACCTGGATAATTGACTTAGTTTGCGCATTAATGTACGATTCGCTATGCATTAGGTCATATAATATAAATTGCGGCCGGCCAATTTGATTAATGCTATTTCGGTAATCGATGCATTAAATAATTACGGGGCGAGTGCGGAGGGCGGGGGGTGTGGCGGGCTTGTACGCGAGCGACTCGACGTTAGCCGATAGTCATTAGTTTATTACGTAGTCCGGGCTAGTTGCAGCCACGGGAATATAGTTTTCATCGGAAAACGATCGAGGAAAAAGACGCGAGGAACGGGCCCGTGCTTCCCATCGGAGTTGCACGCGACCAGCGCACGCCAAGGAAAGCCCTGCACTCTCTCTCCCTCCCTTCCCCTCTCTCCCTATAGCTAGCGCCCTCGCTTCTCTCTCTCTCTCTCTCTCTCTCTCTCTCTCTCTCGTCGCTCTTTCCCCGGGCTATTTATTTTTCTCATCGGTTTTAATTTCGTAGAGACAACATAGATGCGTATCGGCCGTCCGCGCGCCACCGCCGCTGCGTGCACCCATACACACGACACACGGCCATTGTGACGGCCATTGTGCCCCGGCTACATCCCGAATGGATGTTACGCCGCCGCTATCGGGATCGGATCTCGCTCGTTGAGTTTATTAATTGCGTTATGGCAAGTGCCGTTCGCCTATCGGTCCAAATTGAAAAAAATCCCCAGAGCACCTCCGCTTTTCTCTCTCCTCTCTCTCTTTGTCTCTCTCTCGCGCGCACACACACACATATACAGACACGCGCGCACACTTTTCTCAACGCTTCTCTCGTCGACCGACGTTCGCTACTCTTGGGGGATGCTCGCCTCGAGTGTCCCGAAGACCTTCGAGGAGCGAATAAAGCATATACGAACAAGTGCAAAATATCGAACGAGTTGGACGCAATTGTGAAAGAAATTCGAAAGCCGCGGCTCCGACGGCGGTCTTCGGTCGGAGGGCAATTAGCAGAAAAGATTGCAAGGCCCGGCGCGGCGGAATTGCAGCGGCGATCAATCGTCCCCGGAAAGGGAGGCTCGAATCGTAAAACAATTATACAATTACCGCGAGCTCGTAATTAATTGCTGGCCGTTTCAACGTTTACCCCGGTCCTGAAACAGGCCGCACTCGTCCGTCCGCGCGCGGTATTAATTCATTAACGTTGCACCGTCGAACGTATTTGCCCGTAAAATTGAACGGGCTCGCGTGCCCGCGATTATTTGTCCAGTCGATTTCGCGGGCAACGATCCTCCATAGTTTTCCAGGTAAAACCAGCGCCGCTTCCGCGACTCCCGATCGCGGAATGTCTTGATGTTCGGAAAGGGTTGCGCGCGGCGGAGGATCGCCGATGGAAACGGCGGAAGCTCCGATTGTCAGTCGTCGCGTCGAGTCGCGTCGCGGGACGATATTCCGGTTATCGGCAACCGCCACCGCCAGCCGCAACGCGACGGTGCAGTTGCAGTTAATTTGCTCACTCCAAGTGTGTTTGATTCCCCTAATTAATTGATCGGTGGGGTCACCGAGGCCCGCGTATACGGATGGCAGTAATCAAGTGCGTGCCCCTGGTACCAGGGCTACGAGCACACACTAGAACCGTAACCCTCTCGGCCGGCCGCGGCCGTCTTTCTCGCTTTTGATGTTGATTCGAGCCGGTCCTGCAACGGTTCGACCGTCGTCGAACCCGCTTTCGCGGTGCTACGCGCTCCGCTTTTCCGCGATCTATCCGATCGCGATTGTTCGGGGACTCGTGATCGGAATCTCGCAGAACGAAAGAACCGAAAGTATGCTCACCCAAATGTCCGTTCTCGTAGTAGTCCCCGTTGTCCATTCTGTGTTTCTTGAGCGAGTGCTGGGGATGGTGACCGGTCGCCGCGGCCAGGTGGCTGGCTGCGAGGCTTAGGCCGACGGATGCCCTCTTCGGTGGTCTTCCTGGCCTGGAGCTGTACAGTGGTAGAGAGTTACTGTGGTTAGAGACACCTGTCATCGAGGTAACGTCTTACCCCGACCTGCGCGCTTACGTCGCGTCGGTCGTAAGCGGATCGACTCGACTCGACTCGATTCGACTCGCCGCGGCGCGCCGCTCCGCGTCGCACCGCGCCGAGTCTGCTGCCCCCGCGACGCTTTCGGGACCGAACCGTTGTTATTCCGAACAATTTCACGCGCTTTCCGTGTTATCGAATCCGCGGGCGGTTCGATATCGTGGATCCAGAAATAGCCGGGGGCAACAGTTGCATTTGGAGCGCGTTCTCTCTTCGCCGAATCTTAAATCTATCGATGCTCTCGATCGAGCCAAGTTCGTTCTCTGTCTATCGGCATCGCGTTCTCAGAATTTTCGTTCTTTCTCTTGCGTACCAAAGGATCGTAAACCAGAATCTGGCAGTAGAAGTTGTTCGTTATCGGCGAGTCGTTACAATTTGTCTATTTTATATCTCGTTCGTGGAACGCGCGCGAGACGAATGGAACACGGCGCGTCGGAGATAGGCGGATCGCGTTTAAAGGCCGCTTCGCGCCGGGTCCGGACAGCGGGCCCCGACGCCGGAGTTCCGGAGGAACGCAGCAACGGCCACGGGATTCGATGACCGAGTTCCAGGCTCTCGCCTAGGAGCGTCAATTAGTCTACGCGGGGAACGCGCGCGTTTCGAGAACTGGTTCTCTCAGCCGGACTCGTAGTCGCAGTCGCAGCCGCGGCAACGGAGGCAGCGAAATCCGCGATTAGCGTGCACGGAGCACGGGCGCGAGCCGAGCGAAAGTGCCACGGGTTAGCCTGGCTGATACCGGCTAATACGTAGTGACGGTGCCGCGATAAACCTAATAGAGGGGAAGATAAAGGTGCGCGTGGGACGACAAAACGCGCCAAATAGGCTGCGCATTTGCATAAGTTATCGTCGCGAGAACTTTATGGTCCTCGCGCGGGCAACAGCCGGAATGCGGTATGCACCGGAACGGAACGGTCTCCCGAATTCCGCTCGGAAAACGATGCGTCAACGTCCTGCGCGGGAAACTAATTTTTCCAAGGAATCGCGATCCTACGAACGACGGTTGCACGGCACCAACCAAAGGCGTCGCCTTTCCGATCGATCCGATTGCTCCGTTTCCGGTCGGATCCTGCTTTTCGACGGGCTCTCGCCATCGTCCTAGTCGACCGTTTCGAATTCACGGCGTTCTCCGAAGAGTTGCTCGTGCAGAAGCCTCAGGATCGCACGAAAGAGACCGCCGATCTCGATCGAGCCTCTCCTTATTCCGCGGCTCCGGTACGCAAACAAGTGCGTATTATGCGGGGTCTAAGCGTTCGAGAGTGCGTTCTTGTTTTCGGTGTAACCCGAAGCTAAGCGGTTTAAGAGATCAACGCCGTATAAACCGGCCGGGCCGTCTGAGAATCGTCTAGAGATCTCGTGCTCGTGCTCGCGCTCGTGCTCGTGCTCGTGCGTGAGGGAAGGCGGAGAGATTGCGCGAGGAGTATGGGAGAGCCGAGACGAAACAGAGATGGGAAGAACCGAGTCGAGAAGAACGGGAGAGAGAGAGAGAGCGAGAGAGAGAGGGAGAGAGAGAGGGAGAGAGAGAGAGAATGGAAGTGGGAGAGCATCGGAGGAACGAAGAACGAGAGATCGGGAGATCGAGAGACCGATGGATCGAGGATGAGCAGAACGGTGGGGGAGAGTTAAACGGAGGATCGAGGAAGACGCCGAGGCTACGACAGAGCCGGAGCGAGAGGGCTGAAGGCAGAAAGACGGGATGAAAAATTAGATTTACAAATCTGTCCTGACTACTATGAGATTGCTCGCTCACCGGGCCAGAGATGCTCAACCGGTGAGGCGTGGCAGGGCGAGGCGAGGCGAGGCGAGGCGCCTCGATAGAAATATCGGAACAGAATTCTCCCCCACGATTTTCACTCTTTTCATCGTGACTCTACTCTCGTCTCGGCCAGAAGGAGAACAGGCGAACGAGGCTGGACGCGTCGAAACCTCTATTAACCTCCCGAGATCCCATTGGCTTGGACATTCTCTGATCGATTGCTCGACAATCGCTTCTTTTGCCATTCGACCGCTTCCGCTGCCATCGATCTCGAGAATTTCGTGAAATTAACGCCAAACCTTCCGACCTGTAGGAATCGGCGTGAACAAAATGCAACGATGGTTTGTTATCCGTTATCAGGAATATTTGTATAACCAGAGAAGATAATGGCGAGCCACGAATGTTTGCTATCGGATTTACTTCGGGATCGCGTTTTCCGCAGAAAAGTTTCAGCCATTTCCTCGAGGCGGGAATGTCGAACGAATTAGGCGGAGACAGCATGATTTGTTTCCCGTCCGGAACCACCGAAGCGCTCGATAAATCAGAATCGTCTCTGGAATCTCGAGATATCTCGCGGCACGCGGCTTTCGGCGATGGACCGAATTCTCCGAGGGAAAATCGTCGGAATCGAAAAATCGAAGACACGGCACGCCGTAAACATCGTTCGCGCGAGTTTATCGTTACCATCGATCCGTGCAACAGGGACCATCGGCGATAAAATTGTCGCGTCGCGCAAAAATTGATAATCGTCGAGCGCGATAATGAAATCCGAAATATCAATCGCATCGTCGGTATCGAGCAAAAATGTTTGCGCTTTCCCTGAAAATTGCGACTCGGGGATATGTAATGAGCGACACGGCGACCGGGGCACGAGAAATGAGTGTTTAAATTGATAATGGAGAGAAAAAAAGGCAAAATCGCGCGGATATCGAGAAAGCCGTTTGCGANTTTCGAATTCACGGCGTTCTCCGAAGAGTTGCTCGTGCAGAAGCCTCAGGATCGCACGAAAGAGACCGCCGATCTCGATCGAGCCTCTCCTTATTCCGCGGCTCCGGTACGCAAACAAGTGCGTATTATGCGGGGTCTAAGCGTTCGAGAGTGCGTTCTTGTTTTCGGTGTAACCCGAAGCTAAGCGGTTTAAGAGATCAACGCCGTATAAACCGGCCGGGCCGTCTGAGAATCGTCTAGAGATCTCGTGCTCGTGCTCGCGCTCGTGCTCGTGCTCGTGCGTGAGGGAAGGCGGAGAGATTGCGCGAGGAGTATGGGAGAGCCGAGACGAAACAGAGATGGGAAGAACCGAGTCGAGAAGAACGGGAGAGAGAGAGAGAGCGAGAGAGAGAGGGAGAGAGAGAGGGAGAGAGAGAGAGAATGGAAGTGGGAGAGCATCGGAGGAACGAAGAACGAGAGATCGGGAGATCGAGAGACCGATGGATCGAGGATGAGCAGAACGGTGGGGGAGAGTTAAACGGAGGATCGAGGAAGACGCCGAGGCTACGACAGAGCCGGAGCGAGAGGGCTGAAGGCAGAAAGACGGGATGAAAAATTAGATTTACAAATCTGTCCTGACTACTATGAGATTGCTCGCTCACCGGGCCAGAGATGCTCAACCGGTGAGGCGTGGCAGGGCGAGGCGAGGCGAGGCGAGGCGCCTCGATAGAAATATCGGAACAGAATTCTCCCCCACGATTTTCACTCTTTTCATCGTGACTCTACTCTCGTCTCGGCCAGAAGGAGAACAGGCGAACGAGGCTGGACGCGTCGAAACCTCTATTAACCTCCCGAGATCCCATTGGCTTGGACATTCTCTGATCGATTGCTCGACAATCGCTTCTTTTGCCATTCGACCGCTTCCGCTGCCATCGATCTCGAGAATTTCGTGAAATTAACGCCAAACCTTCCGACCTGTAGGAATCGGCGTGAACAAAATGCAACGATGGTTTGTTATCCGTTATCAGGAATATTTGTATAACCAGAGAAGATAATGGCGAGCCACGAATGTTTGCTATCGGATTTACTTCGGGATCGCGTTTTCCGCAGAAAAGTTTCAGCCATTTCCTCGAGGCGGGAATGTCGAACGAATTAGGCGGAGACAGCATGATTTGTTTCCCGTCCGGAACCACCGAAGCGCTCGATAAATCAGAATCGTCTCTGGAATCTCGAGATATCTCGCGGCACGCGGCTTTCGGCGATGGACCGAATTCTCCGAGGGAAAATCGTCGGAATCGAAAAATCGAAGACACGGCACGCCGTAAACATCGTTCGCGCGAGTTTATCGTTACCATCGATCCGTGCAACAGGGACCATCGGCGATAAAATTGTCGCGTCGCGCAAAAATTGATAATCGTCGAGCGCGATAATGAAATCCGAAATATCAATCGCATCGTCGGTATCGAGCAAAAATGTTTGCGCTTTCCCTGAAAATTGCGACTCGGGGATATGTAATGAGCGACACGGCGACCGGGGCACGAGAAATGAGTGTTTAAATTGATAATGGAGAGAAAAAAAGGCAAAATCGCGCGGATATCGAGAAAGCCGTTTGCGAAACAGCGTCCGGCCGATACGGCGAGAGCGTTCGTCGACCGAGAGATCGAAAGATCGGGAGATCGACGGTAATCGAGAATTGCGGCAACAGCGGCCCCGCAGCTACCAGATTTCGTTTCGGCTCGACAGAATTAATTCTCCGATCGACCGCCGGCCTATTCGGACAGGATACCGTACCTTAACGCAATGATTACGGGTCGTTCGTCGGCGTCGACATTTTTCCCCCTTTTTCCTACGATCCGCGCGAGCGAAACACTCGCGTTTGCGACAACAAATACCGTAATTTAAAAAAGCTCGCCTGGAATAAAAATCGAGAAGGAACAGAGGCGCCTACCGGGAAGAAATATGTCCACGGTTTTCGAGTCGAAACGTCCGCGAGCGCGATTCCGATTTCGGATCGAAATAGCTCGTAGATAAAATCGTCGGGTTAAAAATTGCTCGCTAAACGCGACCGTTATAAACGATCGGATTAATAAATGAGAGCGGTAGGCTGGTCGGCGCGTCAGGCTCGACCGATTCGCACGCGTTTCAATTGAATAGGAATAGAAAAGCAGCCGTGGATCGCGCACCGGAGCAGAACGTCGAACGGACATAGACGAATTATTAC